GTTTTGATTCCTCCAATCTTTTATTACCGATTCCGATTTTGTAAAAATAACGTGATCTGTGTAGATACCCGAGGATCGGATAGGGACATCCCTATCTACAACATAAAATACGTCAGTAAAAGAAGAATTTTTCTATTTTCTTTGTTGTTTTACTCAACCTGATGAAGGTCTGATGATTGAAACATTGTTTATTGCAGAAACAGGACAGTGTGCAGGAATTCACTATTTCTTTATCTGTGGAAAGTGTCTTCCTACACATCTGCAAGTTTTTGAAGGTGTGCATGAGCCTCTGTGTTCTCATTTTGTGGTGCAGTAACTCGCTCTGTAGAAAATACATTATAGCTGCCACTTATTGTTAAGTCAGCCCGTCTTTCAGCAAACATACAAATGCTGCATTTGGTCAACCAAGACCTTTTAATAGGCTGCTTGTTATATTCAGAGACAGAAAATGTTCCTGTGCGAGCTCTGAATTCAAACTGGTGATGTTGCAGTTACCTTTTCAAACACAGCCACCGTGATGCGCTGAAATTCTGCTGATTAGTCTGTTATTTCCACATTAACACACACTCCTATCTAAGTTTATGCATAAGTACTCCAATCAAGAGTAATATTTCTGCCCTTAATGTCAGCGTTCTTCATTCATATTGTCAAGTGCTTCCAGCAGACGCCACCCCGTCTTGCAACTTTCCACACTCGTTGGTTTTAAATAATGAATACAAACTCGAACCCACTGCTTCTAAATAATGAATCTTAACAGTGCTAACAAGCTCTTTTATGGCAGTTTACATATTAAAATTCTAAATGTCAGTGTCATCTAAATGTCAGTCCTTTCAAGCAAACAAACTCCCCGTGTCAGTTTTGGAGTGTCAGAGAGACTGCACACTGTCAAGGAGGTGCTTGGCAGCATGACTGGCACAAATCTAACACACACACACACACACACACACACACACACACACACACACACACACACACATCCAAACACAGAGTCCCAAACAGCATGTAAACCCAGACGGACGTGCCACCATGCACGTACACTCACTATTCTATACTTACTCCATCATGCATCATAGATGTCCCTGGGTTCCTCCCTAAATGCATTATGTATAATTAGCCACAATCCACGCTGCTCAGTGAGGACTGAGAGCAAATAAAATGAACACCAGAGTTAATTTCATTTGTTTCCTCTTTGTTCCCCCCGCCCCTCACAGAGTGGTATCTCTGTACAGTTAGTTTATTGTGTTAATATGAAGGCTGTAATTTTTGATAGTAAGAGACAGCTGTACACTGTCAGTTTTAATCAGCTATTATCTCAAACATAAACACATATGGACTGGTTACAGCTGCTCCATGTGTGTTGTCTCTGTCTCTAAAGGTTTCTCTGCTAATGCACTCACTTGTAAAGGAATACACGTTTATTTTGCCTCCTTTGTCTTGTCTTCTTTCTTAGAGTAAATGAGAAGATTGATACCATTCGCCCACTTAATATGAAGCTTCAGCCACCAGCTGGTTAGCTTAGCTTAGCGTAAAAACTGGAAACAGGAAGAGATAGCTACCCTGGCTAGCTGCCAGGTGACCAGCAAAGAAGACACAAACCCCTTAAGACAATAATGTGTCCTTTTTGAACGTACTGAGAAGGATTAAATGTCAAATGAGGTACATCAGTTATCACTTTGAGGGCGTTTGGGCCGTAATGCTGACATTTCAGTTGTTTAACAATACATAACCAGCAGTGCTTTGGGAAAAGTTTGTAGGCAGGCACAAGTTTGTATGCTATACAGATACCCCTTTAAATGTTTTATACATTTCTAATTAAGAAATAGCACCACATTGGGGGCATAGCACCACATTGTGCGCACTATAAGCAGTCTCTGTGGGCCCCCCATCCTTCTCTGGGTCCATGTCTCTCTCATGCACCTTTTAGCTGATTTTTTAATTTTTTTTTTTTTTTTATAAAGTCAGTTTGCCTCCTTTCCCTTTCTCTCTTTCTTTCTTCTTTCTTTTTTTTGGAACCCTGATTTCCCTTTCTTGGGGTATAGACGTGGCAGTGTGCATTGGTGCTTCAGCAGCATAAGCAGTCACTCACTCAAATCTAGCTGTGTTTAGAGAAGAATCCTGGTGTAGGGGCAGGCTAAACCATTTTGCATCTTTAAGGGGAGAGAGGGACCAATTTATTCAGCCAATTTAATTTAGTTCAGTCAGGACCACTTTAGTCAAAGAAAGCTTTATTTCCATTTACGGTATTATATTTGGCGGTGTGACTCTGTTCTGGGGCCTCTCTGACTTTCCTAGGCCTACGCAGAGAGCCTGAGGCAGAGAGAGTACACCTCCCTGCCCTTCCATGCTCCTACATGGAAAGCCTGAGGCAGGGAGAGCAGCAGCAAAGACCCCTTGGGAACAGAACAGAGCAGCATCAATGACAAACAGAACATTGATAAGTCAGACACAGCATGAAAAGGAGGAGCTGGGGTGGAGGCAGGGCGCAAAGCAGCTTGCAGAGGAAGCAGCAACAGTAGGCAGGCCAGAGCAGTTTAAATAGGGCGCCCTAAATGAGATTTACCAATTGGCTGCATTGACAGGAATCATGTGATCTATCACCTGACTCTCTTCCATCAATCAGCTGCTCCATCAGTTGATTGGGCTGTTTGAGACCAGCTGATGTAGCTGGGATGTGAGCTGAGGTTGACATCGTGTCCTGCCTGAACTAACGCTATGCTCAAATTTGAAATATATAAATCAGAAAACAAAACCTGCAAAACAAATCCAGGCTTATTGACACTCATAAAAGGTCACAGTAGGGGTGTCAAAGCAATTTATTTGAGGCGCCTCATAAAGCTGATGGTGTGTGTTCGGCCATTTTAAACAATACGTGTACCTCAAAGCACGAGTATCAGATACTTTCAGTGTGTTTGGGCCTTTAGAGATGCTGGTCAGTAGATTTTGTTTCCTCAGGACAGAGCCAGGCTAGCTGTATCCCCATTTCCAGTCTTTTTGCTGAGGTAGGCTAATTAGCTGTAGCTTCATATTTACCACACATATATGACAGTGGTATTGATCCTCTCATCTTAACTCCTGACAAGAATGCAATGCACTATTCTTTAAAGCAGGCCTACATGTAACCAGTCCACTGACCTTAATTGCAGCATATATAAACATTCATATGATATAAATGCATCCATTTGTTTCAGTAGCTAAGCTCGGAGTATTAGTTCTGCTGAATCCAGGTTTACAGTTGTGTTGTGCATTTTTATGGAAATCAGATCAGAAACAGGAGACTTACCTGGAACGTATGAGTCTACATCGACAAAAACATTTCTGGGAACAGAGGAGAGACGAGCTGATTTATACCCATGGGCTTTTACTAACAGTCACCACACACACAGACTGAGAGCAATGCACCCTCGGCCCATTATGAGCTATACTGTTACCTCTTGTTTCTGTACCAAGATGATTAAAAATCCACTTGCAGGACTCGGGTGCGTTTACAGTAATGTGGTCTTATAGATGCCACAGCAGTATGTGAGAGTAGTAGATAAGTATAGATCTACTCAGCAGTCCATTTTTATTGTTTAGCATTTAGTTTCTTTTGTACAATGTATTGTTCAGTATGTTTACGATTCACCCCAGTGACATGTAAGGCATTCTCTTGTGCTCTGTCTACTGAAATACTGTATCCTAATGTGTGTGTGTCTGTGAGAGTGAGACAGACAGGTGCAGCCATGTGTAAGAAGGTGTTTATTTCTGTGCCTGGGCTCTGGGTGAGGTCCTTCTCCTGCTGCGATGTGGCCAGCATGCTGATGGCTGACTGAAGGGATTCAGCTGCGGGCCTGTTCACCACCCGGGGGGCAGCGGGGATGACGCTCAGCCTGAAATTGTTTTAAATGTTCTGTTAGGGTTCGTCTGCATTATTTCTTGTTGTAATGGGCTTAAGGCTCGAGGATGACAGTGAGACAAGGACTGCAGCTGCAAGGCTGCGTCATATAGAAATAACAACAAAGCTAGAGATGTGATGATGGTGCTTATAATCTTAAAGGCTTCAAACTTTTGTCGTGTGTTTCTCTGTCTTTTATCTAAGATTACTTGGCCCGGTTTTTATCTCCTCAAACTAATCCAAGCCACTGATCCAGCTGACAGCTCAAAACAGATATGAAACTTTGAGCCACGCTTGGGGCTCACAGTCAGCCACCAGGGCCCGCTGCCTGAGGCTAAGTGCCTCTAAAATCTCATCTTCTTCCTTTGCTGTTTCTAAACACTTCTTTTCATCTGCCAGTTCGTCCTCTTTCACCTCCTGCAAAACCAGCCGAATTTGAATCTCAAATGAAATGCAAATGCTCCTGGAAAAACAAAAATCAGAAACGAACCCAAGCAGTCAATCAGCGATTGAGGACAACACTTGTCCTGGAGAGGGACAGGAGGAGTTTGCGAGGAAACACACATACAGCGGTGAACCCCGGACAGCTGTTTGAGAGGAGGATGTGAGGTTCAGCTGTGCCTGTGGAGGGCCGTCTAATGAATCTAACACAGGAGGATTAGGTTTGACTGAGTGTGTGAGCACCAATCAAAGCCAGACTGGAGCAGGCAGATGTACAGGCTCCTCATTAACTTGCTTTTTTATTTTTTTGCTTCTTCTCCTTCTGCTCTGTCCAAGACGGGGCGAGGCAGCTCAGTGATGATAATAAAGCTCTCCACCAAACCTGAAACAATCACCAGACACAGATTCATTCACTTCACAGGGAGTGTCTCATCCTTTAGACTGCTTATACTTTAATTCACTCTGTACCACCGCCTCTGTCACCCTCTAACTTGTATAAATTTCACTGCTGTGCGCCTTAACAGTCTACCTTTGGCAGAGACGACCGGCTCAGGTCATCAGGTCAGAATCATTGCAGCGTGAAGGAAACTATAAAACTCCCATTCTAGGAGGGCAGAATAACTTTTCCTCTTTCCCTAATTTCTTTTTCTGTCTTGTCTCTTTGCTCTCCCTCCGTCTCTTCCTACAGAATGACACATGGAGCGAGCTCTACTCCTTCGCCCTCTTTAAGGCCATGAGCCACATGCTGTGCATTGGATATGGAAGACAAGCTCCGGAGAGCATGTCAGACATCTGGCTGACCATGCTGAGTATGATCGTCGGAGCCACCTGCTACGCCATGTTCATCGGCCACGCAACCGCACTCATCCAATCTCTGGACTCATCCAGACGGCAATACCAAGAGAAGGTAAGGATCTGGCTAGTTTTTGGTGTCCTGAGTTATTTGACAAGATGTTTACTGCTGGATGTTTCTGGATGTACATCAAGTTTATAAACGGATGTTTTGATATAGTTGTTGTGAACGTGGCCCCCTATGACTTTACATCATCAAGTATTTTCCCTGTTGTGGTCTCATCGTTCACCATGAAGGCATGTGAGACAAACTTAGTTTCTTCCCAAATTCAACCTAACACAAGGTGAGTAACTGATATACCAATGATCATTAGGCAGGTGAAGTATTCCTTTAAGTATGATGCTAGAGCCATGAGGCATGCAGCTTAGCTTAGCATAAAGGTGAAGCAAGCAGGATCAGTTATACCCTTTTTCTATTGTCACTTTGGGCCGTGCCGAGCCAATTTGTGTTTCCATTGTCAGTTTAGACGCGCTGTGCCACGCCAAGCTATGCCCGGGATGGATCTCCTTTAGAGTAGTTCCAAAAGCCGGGCCGTCCGCCCCTAAGCGGGTAGCGGTGGTGTTTCGCCGACTGCAGCCAACCCCTCGACGACCCCCGTTCTGCCCCCCAAGTAAGCGTGTATGTTGCAAGACCCTACTCACCTCTGTCTGCAGGAGACCAGAGAGAAAGACGTTCTCAAAGTCTCTGTGTGTTCAGCTTTCAGTACTTTTGTAGCTTCTCACTGAATCTCTGTGGTTTGACGTTTAGTTTCTCTCCTGCGTCCTGTTTTTACTTTAGATATCTGCTTTATTTTACTGTTTCATGTTCGCTATCCGCCGGATTAGAGGTTGTGTGAAGCTGCTGCTCGAAAACTCAACATTTCCGTATTTTGGTGCTTCACAATAAAAGTTTATATGTAACAAAATAATGAGGGATTTTTATTGTGAAGAATCTATAGGAAATGAAATGTGTTTATCACTGCATTAGCAGAGCTTTGTTAACAGCTTTTCTTTAATAAAGGCAAGTCTAATGATACGGCCGGGAGGAAGAGTAAGAGCAGAAACAGCCACAGTGAGATGTTGATGAAGAGCTGCAGACAACAGGCTCTTACTGCACCTCTGCAAACCGCTCACCTCCAACAGGTGAACTTCTTTTACCTGTCCTGCTGTGGAAAAACATATACAGCAAAAATAACAGGGGACTTTAGCTGTGGATCAGCACTCTACTATTAAACGTCATCACTCAAGACAAGCCATCATCAGTTTTAGACACAACATCAAGAAGGTAGCCCTGTTGTAATGGAAATGCAAATCCCTGCTGTGCTGGGCTGACAGCCAAAACCAAACCAAGCCAGCCCATGACTGTTGAAAAGAGGTAATAGGTGGCTCCGTGCAAAGTTAAAAATAAAATGCACACTTGCACCTTCAAAGGTCACTAATTAGCACACTATATCTATCAAAACTACAATTAAAAGTTGTGTTTTTACGGGAGTTGCATGCATTAAGAATTACTTCCACGCCAGCTGCTTCCCACTTCTTCCAGTCTTTATGCAAAGATAAAATAATCTGTTTCTGATCTTAGCTTCAAACTAAGTGCACAGACATAACAGTGGTGTCAGTGTTCTCACCTGACTCTCGGAAAGACAGCAAGGATGTTTATTTTCCAGACTATATTTAGTTATATCCAGCAGCGTCACTTCTTTTGAAACAGTGTCCTGGTTACTCTGAGTGATCCACAGACTGGGCTGTAAACAGTTGTGATTAGAACAACCTTAGACCAAAGATATAATCCCTGTGAAACTGTGGACTGTGTGTTCTGTGGATTATCCCAGAGAGTTACAGGGACATTTTCTCCGGGAAGAGATGCTGCTGTTGATATTTTTAAATTTAGATTCTCAGTGTTGTGAACGGTGAGCATGCAGAAATCGTCCATGGGCATCTCAAAAATAAATCTTTAAATCTTAATCTATTTGCTTTGTTTTTGTCATTTGGGTGAACTAACCCTTTAAACTCAAACATATCTGAGTAAATAGCACAGCTTGCTAGTTTTTATTGAGTGGTTTTACTACAGTCTATTTTTAGATCACTTTACATCACAGGTAGCTACAGGATTACCTTACGAGCACCCAGGTGGTCCCTCTATCTGGAGCATGGCACGGCGCCATAAGGAGACTCCATAAAGAGCTTTAATCTACAGTGCTTGTCCTCTACAACGATGTGAATAAGGTTATCCAATTTGATACGAGGCTTCGCTCATTTGAGTCAAACACACTTTGATGGTAACAGCATCTGTTCTATCGGTTCGATATTCACAGCTGCAGCTCGCTGGGCCTCGTCCTGTCTGACGTCTCCGTACGCCGGCTGATCAAAGCTCCTGGTGTCTGCAGGCTCCTGCTTTATAAGGCCATGGTGTCAGCGGTGCTCTGCGTCTTGTTAGCTTCCTTAGATCCTGCGTGATGTGGAGAAGTCTCATGCTATCTATCACTCATACACATGCGTGCAGACACACACATGCACATCAGAGTGATTGGTTGAGCTTTGTTGTTTAGCCGAAGCCTCTGGCCAATGTTTAAAACAAAGACTGATCAGGTTTACGTCCCTCTTATTCAATCATATACTGTTTTGGCCGTAACGTGTAGCTTTATTCTGTTTGTTTTCTGGCTCTTGAGGCTTGGCTGTGCATCATGTTGAGGAGATAATAATCTTGCGTTATTTCTAGGTCATGATATCAGTGAGCATCCATGATGATGCTGAGTTTATAGCAGACCAACACTCCTGTGGGAGGGGCTGTGGTGGTACTGAAAAAGTAATGAAGCTACTGTATGTATGTGTCAGATTCATGAGAATGGTTAATGCTGCAGCGAATGGATGCATTATCAATGGATCTGGGGTACAACATCCATCTACACTGTACACAGTGGATACATATACACATGACGGGTCTTTGTTGTGTGTGTGAAAGATACAATGATTCAGAATTCAACAGAAACATCTCTTTTCAGAAAACAATGACCCCTTTTTCTAATAACTTTTACCCCTTAACTGAAAATCGTGGACAGTGATTATCCACAGTCACCTGGACATATTGAAACTGAACTTTTAAATATTATATTTACATTTTTTATCACACAAACATCACTGACATATTGGATTTTAACTTGAGACCCTTAAACAGTGATTGCGTTTTTCAGTCAGCGGCCTCAGAACTGCAGACTGCCTAAAGAACTCAGACTTGCTAATTCAGTACCATCTTTTAAATCCACTTCTCAAAACACACTCCTCTCATAGACTTGCTTTTATCTAATTGCCTTTTGATCTTGCCAACTTTTAACCTTGTGTTGTTTCTCTATGCATTTTTTAAAATCTAATTTCATTTTCCAAAGTTCCTTTTTCTTTTGATCATGTTTTCTATTTTTACATCTTCGTTGTGTTTCATTCTTCATTATTTCGCCTTTTATTATTTCATTCTTTCTGCTTTCCTGTGATAAACTTTGTTTAGTTAGGTGCTATTTTCAAAGTTTAGCGTCTCTGCAAAGAAGGTTATATTGTTGCCTGTGCTTTTCTTAAGTCTCGTTCCCACCAAGCAGTCTGGTTTAGTTCAGTTCATTACGCATTAGAACAACGGTCATCAGTATCGTCCGATTTCGGCTTTGAAATTAAGTATTGGAATCGTCCAACATGCTGATAATATTGGTATGTCATTGGTATCAGCCAATATCAGCTTTAAAATAAACACAGAATCAGCCAACATGCTTTTTCTTATTTTTCACATTGCATGAATATTACGTACATTGCGTTTCACGTCCCCATCCGCTGATGGGCAGTCACGATCAGAGTATACTTGCATAATATGATGTTAATTCCACTACAGAATAGACTTGGTGATCACTAAAGTTAGGTGGATATTAGTATCAGTTATCAGTCAAATGAGTTGTTGTTGCATATCATCATATCGGATATCGGCAAGAAATCCAATAACGCGCATCTCTACTTTCTATTGTCAAAAGTTATGGATGGTACCGACAGAAGTGTTTTATTCAGTTGAGTGTTTTTGTTACCTTCTGTTGAGGAGGTACCTCGCATACTGATCAGATACTAAAAGGTGGAGCTGGAAACACTGCAGTCCGTTGATTGGTCAAGAGAGAACCCTTACTCTTGTTCTAAAAGGGACTAATGCAAAAACCCATCATTTTTAAATATTCCATCGATTGCGACAGAGAATGTAAACACTTCAGCCTATCATTTTTTGTTCTGAAAATGTCAGCGTGCAAACCTGATGAACAAGGTGCAGACAATCCTTTGAATTGCCCATGAAGACGAAATACAGCAAGAGCTGGACAGAGCAGTGGCACCGCTATTACTATGCACTAACAACTCTACATTTAAGAGTGCGGTCTGTGGTGTAAACGCCAAACAGATCTAGGATTTAGGTTCATGTCCATACAGGTTACGTTCCAGTTCTAAGGATACTATACCTGAAGTGCTTGGTGGAAATGCGGCGTTAGTTTGCAGCCACATCAAAAAGTGTGGAAAGATTTTAGTGGAATTTGCCGGAAAGGTAGATCAAGGTCTGAGATCAAGATGTGATCTGCCTTAACAGACGTTCCACCATTTTACAGATATACTATACATGATTGAACAGCCGTCGGGAGCAATATGAGGTTCAGTATCTTGCTCAAGGACACTTCAACATGTGGACTGGAGAAGCCAGGGATCGAGCAGCCTATTAATGGGTGACCTGCTCTACCTCTGAACCACAGCCGCTGTTAATTACTCTTTGTGAAAACGCTTGCCAACCCCAGATTCACTCTTGTTTGGTGTTACGGCTTGCTGTATTGTGTCTCTTGGATGCCTGCTGCTTACAGTCTGGCACCTGGTCGCTCTGTTTTTATAAAGCCCCGACCTTACCTGAGAGCTGTGGGGTACACGCCCATTAATGTCCAGAGAACAGAAGATGTAAATAAGGTAATACAGACAGAGACCAGAGTTTTTGCAGGGAAATACTTCGCCATAAACTTCTAGTGGGTTTTTTACCTCCTGTAAATTTCATCCAGTCTGAGCTAAATGTGGCACATA